ACAAAGTATTTTAGTTGTCCAAAATAGTAACAGTTGCTAAACCGATTATATGCTCAACCACATTTTGTTTCCAAAGCCTGGTGTCAGTGGTGGCTAATATACTCGTGATTGTTAATATAATCACAATGAAATAACAATGTATTTTGAAATGAAATACAGAGAAATGTATTATAATATCATATATGTAGAAGCAATCAGAGTTCTATTTTCCTGAAGGTGCCAACTAGCCCTCCTCCTGGATCGACAGTCTTGTCTTTACCAAGGGCGTCCTTCATCTTGGGGATACCATACATGGCATTCTCGTCATGGTATCTCTTTTCCCAAGCTTGTAACTCTTGCATCCATTTCTTCGAACATTCTGTTATTTCTGGCTGGGTTCCTCCGTAATCCGATGGGAGGGCTGCTGAGGGAATGTATTTATGTAACGTACCGTATTCATCCCCGTGAACTTTGACCTGTGAAAACAAGAATAGATAAGCATTGGCGCTAGCATTTTCCCATCGAATGCGTGTACAATTTGGAAGCGAGTAAACACTCTAGGTGTATGCATCATCTATGTGTTTCGAATGTTACATACTGGTATTCCAACAGACAAAACATTGTGTTTCAACCCGCTATAAAAAAAAATGATTTTACCAAATCTGTTCACGATTTCACACGTACCCTTTTCTTCATCTTTTCAGTCATAAACACACTCCATATCGCCATACCTGCTTCAAATATTGAGGGCGTGTTGACAAAATGAACTCCCTTACTTCTGATTGGCATGGCACTCTAAGGATGATAGGAAACACAGTAAAATACAATATCGTGCACGTGTCATATTTGTTCTGTCGAACACGAATGCAGCATTTATTTAACAATCACCACCAAATATAGGCCAACAGTAAGGTATCGTTGTTCAAATAGGCCAACAGTAAAGTATCGTTGTTCAAATAGGCCAACAGTAAGGTATCGTTGTTCAAATAGGCCAACAGTAAGGTATCGTTGTTCAAATAGGCCAACAGTAAGGTATCGTTGTTCAAATAGGCCAACAGTAAGGTAAGTTGTTCAAATAGGCCAACAGTAAGGTATCGTTGTTCAAATAGGCCAACAGTAAGGTATCGTTGTTCAAATAGCCTAACAGTAAGGTATCGTTGTTCAAATAGGCCAACAGTAAGGTATCGTTGTTCAAATAGGCCAACAGTAAGGTATCGTTGTTCAAAAATAGGTACTGGTCATTTATATGAAATGAACACTTTGTTTGTAGGCCACATGATACTTATTAATATTATGAACCAAACTGTTCAGAGTACGACTGTGGTATATTAATAAAAATAATAACACATTATAACAGTGTCTCAAATTGTCATCATCGTAGTTACGATGAAAATTAATAGATATTCATCGATAAACTGAATTGAAGATTTCAAAAATGCTTTGTAACACTATTCATAGTTTACTGCTTGAATGTGTGCAGACATGTTGTAATTTATGCGTGTGACCTTTTACCCCATACCTCGGAAATTGACATCATCATCCTAGCAAATGACGGTCCATTGTGAATAGCATGTTTTGCAGTATAGTCAGCAAAGTCGCCAATCATTACGACGCCACTAATTTGCGCCTCTTCGTTTTCTAAAAGTTTCTCTGTTGACAAGACGCTAGCACGAGCCATGTCTTTCACACTGTATTTGTCAACATCTAGTTTTCCTGTGAAGAAAATGAATGTAAAGATAAACAACGGAAAACGTAATAGTGTGTCGCTCCATGTATACTGCGAGTCGAGAGACAACGCGCTTTGCTTTATTTTTTACCGTCTAGCCTCATTACATTGTCAGGATTTTCTAATTTCAAGCTATATGAATTACTATTACCCGCTCACACACACATAACAAATAATGTCACACCCCTGGCAGTGGGCGTGCGTAGCAGGTGTTCCCATAGTCATACAAGAAATATACATGCTCTTGTTCTTCGTTGTTCATTAATCTTGGCCCTGCGTGACAATTAGTGTACTCAACTAGAAAAAGTAAGAGAAAAAAAACACACTAATAATAATCTAGTTTGTTTTTTATCTACTTTATTTTGTATTATATAATTGGACTGTTCTTTTAGCGAATTGTCTTTAACTGTGGGTCGCTCTAGCGTGTTTTACAAGAAACAGGTTAATGTGCACAATAGCGCTGTCTTATGTACATGTACTTTTTCAATCAAGCACTAAAATTTGAAAATTCCTGGCCAGTAAAATATTATAATATTATATGTACATAAACTTGGAACCAAGCAGCATATATTGATTACACTACTCAATATAACGACCTAAACTACCTGACAAATGGACACAAATTAAGAGTACCTACTTAGATAAATGTGAATACAGTCTGGCACTCAAATTGAGACTTCAATAAAATTTACAATACCCGCTTCAAATCTACGCCGGTGTATTTTATTCCAGTGTAAATGGTACTCGATAAATATAAAATACAATAAAACGCATACAATTGTTGTTCGAATAGATTAATTATAATTCTATGTCTGAATAAATAATAAAGTAGATTGTTTACATTCACCACAGCGAATGATATTTATTGGAAATAAATCATTTTTTACAGCTTTCCTCCCGTCACCATAAATAGTTTTACTACCTTGCAGTCGTGGCAACTATTCATGTATCGTCATGTATCGACTCTAAACAAGGTTTCTTCGTAACGTTGACCTGAATTCACAAAACAACTCTATAATACTCAGTGATGTACATATCACCTCAACCGTGTGGAGAAACTAATCAGTTTGTAAAGTTATTTTTGAATCACAACAATGTACTGGTACACAATTCAACTGACACACAAATGAACAAATATAATTTCACGTGTTCACTTGACGCGTTTTTCGTCAACTTGATGAGAGTTTCTTAAAGCCCCGAAGTAACTCTAAGCCTAACCTTCAGTGCCCCTCCTCCCAATAATTAATTATACATACACCTCTACAAAGCACGCATGAGGGGGGCATATACAATTACATTGGGGTGCATTGTTAGGGTTAGGGTTTCGGTTAGGGAGAGGGCGCTCCTTCCAACTTGATTTTCATAAAATAGTTGTAAAACTATTTTTTTTTCTTGAAATGTTCATATTGATTGAAAGCGTATGAGTAACAAGACTTGAAAACTTGAAGTCACTTGACTAACAAAGGAAAACGTAGTTGTACTAGGTTACGAGTAATCATGATAATGTAGTTAGTAAGTTACAATTTATTAAGATTTAACTTCAAATATGTCATTTCAGTGCAATGAGAATAAATATGAAAATTATATTTTATTTTAGTCTCGTCAATACCAAACTGTCATGGTTATATATAAACTGTAAGAACATTGTCTCGTGCAATCGCATTACATACCTGGCCGGAAAAAACCAATAAAACGCCCTTCGTTATCTCTCCCGTCAAATCTTCCTTCTAACCCTCCTTCCCAGATATATTTCAATTTGTCCACTTCCAGGTTGTCAAAAACTTCTGGATACTCGTGACGGATTTCATAATAGGCAACAAGATTTTTAAACGCTCGGTTTACGTCGAACTTTCTGGCTCGTAAGAATCTCAACAGGAACGCGTCATCGGTGCGGAACTTGATATCTGGACGTGTGTGAGTTTTCTCTCGTAATGCTTTCAGACCTTGTTCCCGACCCTCTGGTGTTTCGTGAAGTTCTTTCTTTGCCTTTTCCTGCAGTTCTTTGCTCAGTGTACACACGTACGGTTTATTCGTGTCCGACATCTTTCCAATCAGCTGATTCGAATGACTGGGTTCAAAGTCCATGAAAGACACAGTATCAACCGTAGTAAGCGGAGTAGACCCAGTTCCAGTCCCTTGGCGCTGCAGTGAAGCAGGCACCCGAACGTTGACTGGCAGTCCCGGGTGTACTCACCTGGATTTTGGGTGAGAGTGCTCCGTAGCCAGTGGAAAGATCGACGTTGAGGGCACTAACTGACTAAGAAAAATTGCTTTTTCGCCAAAAAATGCCCTAAAGCTGAAGTTGCTGAAGATCTTAAAATTGGGTATGAAACAATGCAATCGACTGTGAAAATACGGGTGAAAACAGCGGTGTATACCTGTGTGCTGCACACTATAGATGTGCCCCCGTGAGGAGTTTAATAAAAATACCGTAGAGGGCAGTATAACAAACGTGATCGGCTAATACATATACACTGTATTCGCGATACCCTGGAAATAAAGAGGAGGTGTTCTACGTCCTCTGGGAATCCGTCTGTGAAATAGTAATGACTCCTTTCCGTGGAAACACAAATAATCTTTTTCAACTTACGATCCGTCCATTTGAAAAAATGAGTCATATAAATATAGCAGTCGCTAATACATACTACAGCAATTCGGAATTGTAATTATTTAGACGCGATGGAACATTGCTTCTGATATAATAGATATCATATTGAATATTACGCATAATAAGGGTAAATAAATTGACAAGCCAAATAGAGAGACACTCAAATTTGCAAGTGGCGTTTGATTCTACGCTATCTGGAGTCACATGATATATTTCATTTTCATTGATGCCAAATTGAAGGGGTCTTTGAAAACGTTAATTTGGCAAAATAACCTCTTTAATATTATGTCAGTGTATACGTTTACAAAACGGAATACTGAAATACTAGTTATTATATTTGTACAGTTGGGATCCCCGCCGCCCACAGTATCATATGGCACAACGCGCATATCAGTGTATCACGTGATTAAGTATTATATGTTAACAGGAGAATCCCGACAGAGAACAGGAAGTTGCTGCTTGTTAATCTCCGAGTGGTGGTCGACCTGGCACGAAAAAACCATGAATATTTCGAGGTAAATTCACCCATTCTTCAATCCTGCTTCTCATCTATGTGATTGTGTTAACTAAACTTCACTAAGTAGTCTAATGTCAGTACGTCTCGTATCTACAAGGATACTGAAGTATTGGGTATAAGTGCGAAAGAAATAGTTGCGTTGGCAGTTATTCTAAGACAAGGATGTGTCGTCACTAACAGTAATATTGCATTTATGCATGGACTATGTAGACTATGATTGGTTTATAATGTCTTCCTAAACGATACTTGATTGGTAGACTTAAGTAAAGTTTGTGTGTGTAATTTCCGGGCCTTTGTTTGAGCCTCAGACCTTTCTCTTGTGGTCTGAGTTTGAGCGATGTTTGGAGTGTGTTATCATACGTTATCTTGTGATAACACTCAGCGCTAGAGAAGGTACGGGGTTAAAGGTCAAATAACTGTTCACAATTTCCTGTAAAATCACTACATAAAACGTATCTGTATCGTATTTGTGTTTTTTGGTCCTTTTACAACGGCATAATTAAGGTAGTGTGAGAGAAAAAACGGCGGTGAACTTGTAATATTACGCCGGCGTTAATACGACCATTCACAGGGTGTTGTAAGCGCCTTGATTGTTAATTTTAATTTGTCTGCCACAGTCGATTGTAATTACATGTATCTCATTCCAAAGTTGAGACTCATAATGTTTGTCGGATTTTAATACCGTGTTCTCACTAACAAAATTTACATCAACGTAAGTTGCTTTAAAGCAATTTCATAATCTTGCGTTCACACCAACAATTCTTACAAATGACGTAATTATGGCGGCCACTAGATCTACATACAGTCAGTCTTTAATTCATTATTGGGGTATTTTTGTATCCAATGAAATAACATAAATAAATGATATTTTATTTTCCTGCAAAAAAATATCAGAAAATACACAAGAGACCGTATGCAAATCTAGGGGCCATCGGATAATGCGCACAATAGCGCTAACACGTAGACATTGTTTCGTTTCTATCATAGGACTGTTGACTGTCCATATATTTATGTTTTGTTGTGTATTCTTTATTTGAGTAGTAATGGTTAACAATTCATTCAGCGTCATGACAAATGTCATAATATACACACATGTTGAAACATTGAGCCAATATCCTTTTAGCTATGTTGGAACTCAGGTTGGAACCAGTCGGTATATTTCGAGTTTAACAACATATACAGGTCAATATACGAACCTAAACAGCCTTCAAATTTGACACACATTGCGATCTGCCTACTTTGTAATAAGATAAGCCTACATACATTCAACTGAGTACTGAAATTCAGTTCAGAATGTCAATACATTTACAACATCATAACATTTGCGAATTGTCGCCGCTTTAGTCTCTACCGTATTTAAGCCCCTCTGTTCTCACTCTGACCATGGGAGATACTAACGTTATTACCTTCCATGCTCTGACGTAAATATTACATAATAGTAATATTACGCCAGTGCTGATACCTCCTTCGTGGAGGATTTGAACTCCGTCATTTACGCGTTCACATCATTTTTCCCTTACGTCGACGTAAGTTACGTCGACGTAAAGTGACACAAAACACAGATGTGAACCACGGTTACTAGTAACCGTGTGTGAACACGGTATATAAGACAGTTCAGGTTGTTATATTTACGTATAAACGTTGTTAAACTCGGACCAACATTAAGTAAAAAGGAGATTACCATCACGGTTCCAGCAAGTGTATATCATTTATGTTTATTATTATAACATTCCACGTGGCGTAGAATTGAGTCATTGTGCACATTACTAGTATTCAAATTACACATCGAAAACGCTGACGTCAACATAGATTATAAGATCCTTATAGTTTTAATTACCCGACGCAACTTACGATGACGTAACATTTTGTGCGGAGAAGGCGCACTAGAAGTATACTGTTTATAAACGCGTAAATTTACTGTGTTTATTTGTCTATTAGCCATATTACAAATATATGCAAATTTACTGTGTTTATTTGTCTATTAGTCATATTACAAATAGATGCAAATTTACTGTGTTTATTTGTCTATTAGCCATATTACAAATAGATGCAAATTTACTGTGTTTATTTGTCTATTAGCCATATTA